CGCCGCCGACGGCTATACGCCGTCTCTCGGCCGAAATACCCTTTTTCTCCGGCAACATCAGAACACTCAAAATGAATCATCAATATGAATCAGTTTACTATAGAACACACGGCTGAACAAGATTGATACTGAACTTATTAAGCCATGGTCCGCGGTCGCCCGTGGCCATACGCGGTAGGCGCTGGCGACGGCCCGGGGCCATTTCTTCAGCAAAACTTCATTTTACCTTAAAAAGACGGAACTGATTGATCATGAAATGAACTAAACCGACTATTTAAACGATAATGGTTCGAAAGTTGCCGGAAGAAATCGAAACTTGTTCGGATATAAACCTACTTAAACATGATCGAACTTAGGCACGATTTTGCTTAAAGTTCTCGACAATAATCCGAACACTTATCTCTGAAACAACCTTACTAACATGATTCTTACAAGAAAAGAACCTTACCTCTCGGAACGTTCGACGGAATACGGAAAATAGGCGTGATTATAAACTCTTGCGGTTGCCGTGCGCTATAACTCCCTTTTCCGTGCGATTGATAGCAAATATTGAGGGAAAATTGATATGATTTCTTGCTGCAGAACTTAAGGTTGATTATGCTGAATATATGATCGCCTCTTAAGGAAAAACGTGACCAAAATTTATTCTAAGGTCCTCTTTTATACTTGGCCGTGGGAGATTTAAGGTGACGTGAGCTTGATGTGGCTTCATCCAAGCCATGACATTTGCTAAACTTTGGGATATTTAGAAAAATGACTAAGCATTCCCTTGACATGCCACGTTCCATGTACAAAATAAGGAAAATTTGATTTCCCAACCAAGAAGGAAACTCACGGCATTTGGAAGAATTTTAAGGGAAAAATTGTTACATATAATCCACGGTTATTAGGGTTAATTTCTCACAACTCACGGCTTTAGCTTAATAGTGTGATTAATTAGCTTAATTAATCACTAAGCTTTATGTTTAATTATTAATTAAACATAATACTTAATTACCAAAATTATTTCGAACGTAAATGATACGTCGAAAATACATTTCGGTAATCTCGACTGAACTTAATTAATTTCAAAAATAATATTTGATAACGTTATTATATCGAAACTAAAACGTAATTTATACCGATAAACTATCGGGATATTACAATCCTCCCTCCTTACAAAATTTCCGTCCTCGGAAATTCAAAACATGCCTGATATACATGAAATATGTACATAAGATAAAGAAATATGTACATCAAAACTGGAAATCTGGGAAACGAGCGCGAATGTCGGACTCTTCCTCCCAAGTAGCTCCGTGGCGATCCCACTGAATGCGCACGAGGGGAATATCTCACTTCCGGAGCCGACGGACCTGACGGTCTAGTACAGCTACCGGTCGCTCCTCGTACGATAGATCTGGCTGAACCTGAATATCTGTTTGAGGGATGACATGATCGGGGTCGCACACGTATTTACGCATCATAGATGCGTGAAACACATTATGAATGCCTGATAACTCGGGAGGTAGGGCTAGACGATACGCGACCTCGCCTACTCGCTCGAGAACCTCGAACGGACCGATGAAACGAGG